GATAGGGTTAAGCCGGGCGGAAGGCACTAACACTTTGCTCCCCCGCCCTGATGAAATTGTTGAACGGTCGCTTTTTAGGAATCATTTCAATGACCTTCAGGCGGCCTCTCAAGGAAAGGTCCCATCGAGGCGAGAGTAAGATATGCGAAGGACCTTTTACAATAATATTTCCTATTATTTTTTAATATTTTCCTTATTTTTTTTTGTTGATATTTTTTATTCATAAATTTTTTCTATTCAACTTTTTTTTAAGGCTCTTTCTTCGTACTCTTAGCTCATTATAGCTGTTCATGCTTTCAGGTTTTTTGTGCTTTTCTTCCCTTCGCGTTTTTTTTTCCCCTACACCACGGCATCTCCTTCATACTGCAGCACGCATTTGCACGATCCACCGCCCTTGTTTGCCGCTGGCCGCAATTTTTGACTGAAGATGATTAGAGAAAAAAGGAATGCGGTAAAGTACCATAGTTCCGCATTGTTTTCTAAGATATTGTGAAATCCCATGGGCCGTCCTTGAAGGTTTTTTTGACATCTTCGTACCATAAGGAACCCTTTCATTCCTTTCAGCGGGATTCGATTTCCCGCGACTTCCTTATCAGAAATTGCGCGAGAGTAAGTAAATAATGCTGATCTAACGATTATCGTTTTGCAACACAATATTTCACTTCTGCTTCGCTAACTACCTTCTTCATTCCTTTTTTCACCTTCATTGGTGCCACCCTTCATATTCATAACGGAATACATTTTTCATCTCCTCATCTCACAGAGAACAAAACAAATTTTCGCACACGCCCCAAACGCGCACACGCCCCAAACACGCACATGCCCCCATTCACGCACCGATCCATCGCCGACTCCCCAAGCGCCACTACGCGATCGACATCCAATTGCGAAGGACGGACGATCCGGGTCACATCGCCATCGCGCGGCGAGCAAGGATATCGAGATGGGTTGCGTGGTGCGACGAGGCAGTCTCGCTCCATCCTCGGCGTGCTGCGCTCTATGTGCTGCGCTCCACGCGCTCCTCCCAGGTATGCTTTTTCTCCTCTCATCCTTGGTCATCAGCACTCAACTTTTTGAGTCATTTTCAATCGCAGCGTGTCTCCCTTCCTTTAAGCAATGAAAAAATCTAATTTTTTAAAACAGTGAAAATGTTAACATTTAACATTTAATTTTAACACTTAACACTTTAAATTTTTTTAAACCCCATGCAGGTTGCATTTTACTTTCTGCAGTTGCTAGCCCTAACGACACTGATTTGGTTCTCGAAGACGTTCAACCCATGTTCAAAGGGGTTTCGCAACGCCCAACGATCACGGACGAGCTCGGTCAAGACGCCCTTTCATCTCCAAAAAGTTTCTCAAGGGCATTAGTCGCACATTAAGGAGACAGTTCCCCTCGAGCTTTTTTTTTCTCACGCATCTGGCAGTGGCTCGAAAGAGGTTCGCTCGACCGAAGCGAGATGGCGCCAAAGGCGCCGCAATATCGAATCGATATTTGAGACAGTTAGAATTAGTCCCCAATCCTTTTCGCACAGGACCCGATCTTTACTCACATTTGAAATGAATTTCAAATGTGAAGGAAAATATTCGTATTAAGGGTCAACCCAGTCGTAGGGGTCTCCAGGAAACTCTGCCTCGGAGGATTGGGGGGGGGGGGGAGAACGATTCAACGTCAGACCAGACTTTTTGAAGGAGTAAATAGCGTATATATATATCGTACATAAGAGTATATAGCGTAGAGTATAAACGCTCTTAACACGTTGGCGACAATGCGTCCTGATGGCAGAAAAAAATGCGCGTGGTCCCACGCGGCGGACAAGCAAAAATAGGCTGGTCGTCAACGTGTTAAAGTGGAACTGCGTGCGAAGCGTGCCTAACTTCTCAGAGTAGATAGATCCAATGCAATGAACGATCCCAGCATATTGGACCTATTCCGACATGCAATTCCCCAGCAGGAAAAGAACGGATGAGCTAATAGAAATATCAGGAAGTTCTGCTGCTACGAAGATAAATGTAAATCACAAAGTGGAAAGTGTTTAACATTCTTCGCAAGCGAAGGTGGTACTCCTATTCCTACTCGTACTCTCATCCAGGAAACGTCATGCTCGGCTGCATGATGGCTCCTGCATGATGGCTCGGCTGCATGATGGCTCCTGCGAGGGATCAGGACTTTTCTAGGACTGGGATAGAATTTAAACGATGGGATCGTTTCAAGATGTTAATTGCTTGTTTCCCGAGTCATGGAATGGAAGTTCTTCTAACGCTTTTGTTCCGGTAGGGAACATTCAATTCACATCGTTCGTAAACGGTCAGGGAATGCATAATTTAAAATTTTTTTGAACCCTCTAAATTTCGGACGTTTAAATTGTCGATTGGGTTCATTGAATATACACTAATCGTTCCGGCGCTGATTCGGCTCCTGCTGCGGCTAAAGGCACGCCAAGATTTTTTTTCGGAAGTCTCCTGGAAATGGGGTAGCTGACGCAATGCAAGCAATAACAGACATCGATTCAGAACCCAGAAGTGATCGTATCGCAAGCTCCCTTGCCGTACCCGGCGACTGAAGACAAATCTCAAAAGATTAGCGCTAATCTCGAAGGATTAGCGCCCAACAGCCTGTTGCACATAGCACTGTTTCTCTTTCACTTATAAAATAAAATAGCATGTAGCAGTTTGTCAGTTTGCAGAAATTTGTCAGTTTGCTGAAATTGCTATTTGCAGCAATTGACCTTTCTTGGATGAGTAAACGTCACTATTATCTCCATCGAGTTCGCTTGAAGAATTATCCCAACCGCACCGTTTCCAGGAACCCCGAACCGATCATGAGTTGGACAAGCAACTTCGTTTGGGCGATGGGCTTCATCTTCGCCGAGAAATCCATGTTCCTCAACGAGCTGGACAATCCCGTCGGGTTCTCCAACTTCGAGCAGCAGATCGACGACTCCTACGACTTCGTCATCGGTCAGGAAAGCGCCAGAATGGAAACATTATTCTTGGTACCACTTTCTGTCAGTGGCGGATACAGAAGTTTTTCAATGGGTGGAGGAGGGGGGGCGAATCGCCCCCTCCCCCCATACCACCACCCTTTCGCCTTTTCATTTTTCGTCCGGGGCAAAAACCTGAATATCCATTTCACAGGAGTCAATAAAATTTAATTTGTGTGCTTTTCAAATTTAACGAATAGAATGCGAAACTGGCCATGGGGGGGAGGGGGGGCGGTCCTCCCCCCGCCCCCTCCCTGGATCCGCCACTGCTTTCTATTAGTACTTGTTCTGTTGAGGAAGGAGGAGTAGAATTAGACAGGATACCTCATGCGGTGTTTCTATTATTATTAATATTTGTCAGTCTTTTAGTTTTCGTTTCATTCTCTCCTTGTCCAGGATGTGTCATCTGCTAGTTTTCGGAGTTTCTCGCAAAGTGTTTCATTTTTAACTCCACGGATATACCATCGAACGCAGATGCAACGAAGGCTCGGTTCTTCCTGAAATTTTCTCAGCTAAAAAATAAAAAATAAAAGCAGAACGTAAATCAGCGCACTTCCTGGAAAGGCTAACGAGGACACCATCTGAACGAGATCACGATTAACTCCTTCCCTCTCGAGACCTGACCTTGCTCCACGATGAGAGTCTCAAAATTTTCTTGGCGTTTCGAGGGATTAGATCCGCCCAGATATGGATTATCGATGCTGCGAAAGACGCTTTCAAAAAAAATATATGCACGCGCACAGACACATTCACTCACGCCTGAAAGCAGGGGAGCTTAGTATAAACCGGTTAAAGGATAATCCTCGAGATCCCCTCTCACCCCCTCGTAAAGCCGATTAAGTCATGGACGGCATCGAAGACAGGTTCGACGACCATCAGACGGGTTCTCGACTGGGTCAAGGCCGCCTCCCCGCTCCCTTTCGCCTCGGGCCCGACCAGCCCCGCGATTCCAAGTGTTTTTCTGTGTAACGGAGGCGTAAAGAAAGGTGTGACGAAACCGGCTTTACGAGATCGTCTCCGTTCAGTTAGTGGATTTGAAATGGGGAAATAAATAAGCTAACAGCTGTAATTGGCAAATGCCAATTACAGAATTTTGCCAAATGATTTCTTCCCGGTCCCCTCGTGAGCCATATGCAGGCCCTGCCAGTAGGCCTTGCTCTACATCATCTCCATAAATCAAGGTAGGTTTATGTCAGCTGCTCCGACATGATTCTGGTTGATGGCATAATCGGTCCTCCGAGCGGCTTGGCTCAGATATTTGCAGGTCGTCCGCGATCATAAATGACTGGGAGTCGTTCTGTTTTAAATCCCACCATGCTCTGGACCTCATACGATGCGGTTGCTCTCGTGATGATTAGAATTGAAGCGAAACGGGGCTGGTTCGTTGCTTCTGCGAGGAATTAATCGGAAGCCTCGTCAGTTATTTTATTTCTGTGACCTCACGTCATTAGGAACACTTCGTTGCAAAATGTTACAACGTGAATCACCGTTAGGTCAAATTGTTATCGTGCGGTCGCGATCCTCATCCAAAATAAATTTTCTCCCTTCCCGTCGCGAGGGGACTCCTCGTCCGAATTTTTGCAAACCACTGGTGAAATAAGTGCGTTTTGGATATATCGTCCCATTCTGGAAGAAATCTTGATTCTAGGCGCTGGTGAAAATGTAAGGAACGACCGATGACAAAGCTATGGAGACATTGTACGGAAATCGACGCTATTTCAGTTTTTTTGGTGACCAGAAGCAAACCAATTTTAGCGTTAAAAAAAGTGCATATTTGTAATTTCAGTCTACTTACAGTTTATTTTATTTAAGGAAGGGAATTCGAAGTGTCTTACTGAAAGTAGTATTAAAGTGTTAATGAAAAGAGTCGGCACTGTTCCTGCCAACCTGCACTCATTGCTTCCACGACACCCACTGCACATAACGTCCGACGCGTATTAGCTGCTTTAAAAATTTGATGCAATGAGGGGGAGAGCAGCTTCAATCGAAATTGATTGCAAACACCTTATACATCTGTATGCTTCATGAAGTGGGAGGAGGGACGACAGGAAGCGTGATCGCAAGTCGGTTAACGGAGAACCCTCGGGTGAAGGTCCTGCTACTCGAGGCTGGGTCGGACGGATCCCTGCTCTCCTGGATCCCTGCAGCCGCTCCCTTGATGTGGTGGTTCACCAAGTACGATTACGCCTACTCCAGCGAGCCTCAGGAGGATTCCTGCCTCGCATTCGCAGGAGGGGTGAGTCCTGTCGCGGAGAATTGCGAAGGATAAGGCCAAATCCACTGTTCCTGTCTCTTTTTTTTAGTTTTCAATCCCGTTTTCCACATTTGCTCAGTTCTCCTAACACCAGCCTAACTGAATAGAGGTAAATTGAATCCTTATCGTATGCGTAAATGGAAACATACTGACTCTATATTGTCAGCTACAAATGAGTGCGTTGTAGTAGCTCTAGTACATGCTCATCATAAACGCGTGAAAGCAAGGAAGCAGACACAGGCGCTAAAGGATCAGTCGATCATCATCGATATAGGAGACAAAAGTAAGAAACCACCACACTGTATAGCTAGAATTACGATAGATGTGCTTTATAGTACTCAATTATTTAACTGCTAAAAAGCATTCAACGGGTCTAATGTCATCTACCACCCTTGGTGTTCACTTTAAAGGGTTTGGTGCTTCAATAGTGTTCCATTAGTCGAAACCAACAAATCCCATTTCTATCCCATTCTATCCCTATTCAATTCCAACAATATCCCATTTTTCGCAACTTGAACTTGGCTTCCAGGAAAAATATGGAAAAATATGAAGACAAAACGCCGACATGAACGAAAGTAATTTTGTGGTACAATTTAGAGAAGTAAGTAAATGTTCTAGGGTGGGAATGTTCAATGATTGCATAAAAAACTCTGAAAAAAAATTGAACTCTAACCGCGTTCGCCTTTCAAATGGCTTCTGATTTTGTTGCTTGATGAAACAATCTTTTAGGGTTGGGGAGAAAAACAACAAATGTATTGATACAAACCAACAACTAGATGCTTCAGAACGTGAAAAAAAAATTAACGAGAATGGGAAAGCTCTGTACTGAGTTTGAATGAAAGAAAAATTCAACTGACCAAGTGCAGAATTCTGCCGTTCTTGATCGCCTAAATGCACGCAGGGTGGTGCAAAAGTTAGGAGACTCATTGTCGCGAAGGGACAAGTGGCCACGAATACCTGTATCATCATAGGCATATGGAACTTTCGATGAAGACGAAATTAAGTAGTTTAGGACGTGAATCACAGGTCATGCGGATGCTACGGTCGTTGAATGCTGGAGCCGTCGAAAAAAATGCCGACTACATTAATCGACAAAACGGTCAACGAAGGCCTCCATTCTGGACACATTTCCAATAGCATTATATTACTTAATAGTCAAAATGCGTGCAAAGTTGCTCTGTGGCTATTTCGCCGCTCATTTGGGCTCGTATATTATCCAATTGACCTTTTCCACCCCAAGCATTTTAAGAGAGGGTTGCAGCAATTTCTCTGACGGCACAACTTCCGCATCCCTCAACTTCCAGTTCTGTGCCTCCATTGTCATGTCCCCTGAGATTTAAACCGCCCAATACATTGGCCCAATAAAGACATATGGAAGAATATTTTTTAGCCTGCATGCGAGCGAGGGGACGATGCCTAGTCTCATCGACCTGCGCGGCGATAACATTGAAACTAAGGATCCATTTTGACTCGGCCATTGCGATCGTTCCTCGTTTGGTGAACTTCCTGAAAACCAAAGGAGAATGTTTATCGCCTCGTATGTCTGCAACGCACTCTGCCAGCAATCGTAATGGGAAAACTATTTTTTTTCTTCGAAATATGCAATTTTCCATCACTGCCCTCAGTCGTGTCGTCTGTTTATTTGTGTATGAAGCTCGAAGCACAAAGCAAATGAAGCGAGAAAGCAAGACTGCCTGTTAACTTGCTGGCTGAATCCTTCCGGCCGGAATTCAAATTTTCGAGCAGCCGATTGTATACATTGATACTACGTTGTAACGAAAGTTTTTGTGTATAGATCCTTTTTTCCAGTAATGACGCAACATTCGATTTTTTCGTCACACATACTGAAAGTTGTAATTTTGATAAATTTTGCGATATGTAAAAAAAGGAACATATATTTATACGCGGCATAAAACGGGCTTATATGTACGCGCCCTGACGAAAATGTCTTATAGGATTCCTATATATTCCTAAAGGAAAATATAGGAATCCTATAGGATCCTATATGCCCCATAGAGTTCAGTTTAGGACCTATAGAGTTCCCTATTGAACCTATAGAGTTCCCTATAGAACCTTTAGATCCCCCTATAGAACCTAAAGGGTTCCCCATAAGGCCTAAAGGTTCCCTATAGGACCCAAAGGGTTCTGTATAGGACCCGTAGGGTTCCCTATAAAACCCATAGGATTCTCTATAGGACCTATAATGCCTCATTGTGGCAATCAATTAACTTTGACAGTTCCTTATTTGTCATGCCCATCTTCCAGATATAATCATGGAATCCCGTGAAGAAATATGCCCTTATTCTTTTTGAAGGCCACGTACGAAACTGATTCGACCCTATCCATATGGAGTTTCAGTAAAGAGACTTGCTCGCAGGTTCTCTCTTCTATTTCCTTAGGTCGAGAGAAGAATACCACCTCTTCTTACCGAAGGAAGTAGATGTACAATCCAGCGATGCATGTGTGGTGGGTGATAAATTATGCAGACCCCCGCAGTACTGGTATTAATAATGGATGTGTCCCAACCATGGAAAAACCCCCTAATCGGTTTTTTATTTACACCGAAATGCTTCGCCAATATTAACCCTGGTCGACTTTTCGTCGTAATGCCTGGGTTTCGAAACCCAAAATATCCTCCCCGAATCCTATAGGTCAGGAGACCTATAAGACCCTATAGGGATCCTATAAGAAATAACTATAGGTTTACTATAGGACATTTCCGTATGGGCGCTTATGTACGCTTTTTTTTATTTACGTATTTGGTATCATTTTGATACCAAATACGTATGTAAACGAAAAAATTTATTTTGAAAATTATGCTTAAATAAATTTTGTATTCATGCACAAAAACTTTCGTTACAACCTAGTACAGTACTCGAAATTATGAGTAACGAATTAAAGATGATAGCAACCTCCATATAAGATTGTACTTACCACCAGTAGGAAAAATTAATGCTTCTTTCCTCAGCCACTGGATTATTCTGATTGACGCGGTCTCCTGTCATTGTTGGTACCATCAAGTTGGTACGATCACACATCACGTGAAATAATTTCATGGACGATTTTTGCGTTTTCAGCGATGCCGTTGGTTCCGGGGTCGGATGCTGGGAGGGAGTTCATCAATCAACGGCGCCTTGTACACCCGGGGAAACCGCAAGGACTACGACAACTGGGCCGCCATGGGGAATCCTGGCTGGTCCTTCAACGACCTCCTCCCGCTTTTCAAGAGAGCGGAGAACTTTCTCGTCGAGGATGTTTCTGCGAGTAAGAGCGCACAACTTTCTTACGGCAGAATGTTGGTAAATATATCATAATCGTTGTACATTGATAATAGTTAAAAAAGATATGACAAAGATAATAGTTAAAAATGCAGCCATGGCAGGTTATGGCGAAAAAGCACGGACTGCTTAACTTTTTTCTGGATGATCCGACCCTAGATTGTAGGTGGATCATACTAAAGAATTGGGAAAAAGCAAAAATGCGTAGGACCAGAGGCAATGGAAAGGAAGGAACTTCACCACGAGATGTGGACCTTTGGATTCGCTGTTGTTCCGAAAAATCTTCGTGGCATAAAAGAGGGCGCTGAAGTTGGAAATGGCTCTTTCCTAAAGTGGGCGCAGCAATTTTCTCCTGAAATAATTCAAAGTAATTAAAAGAATCCTAAATTGAGTCGGAATTAGTGTCAACACTCTCAAAATGTCCATTTCTGTCGGATTTTCTCGTCCAAACAAACTCAGTGCTCGATTAACTCAATATATGCTTGAGTCTCATCCACCTTGCGCCGGCAATTTGCGATCTGCAGGGTTAACCAAACCCAGTTAATCCTGATTGTTTGGATGATTCGAGCCAAGCAAAACGAATTTTTTTTTCCACGTTCCGCATTTGATTCCCATGCTTTCTCGTCGTAGGAGACGCGTTTTATCACGGGAAGGGTGGAAACATTCCGATATCCCACACGTACTCTTCAAAGCTTCTCCCGGCATTCATCGAGGCAGGAAAGAGTCTGGGCTTCCCCTATAATCATGATTACAACGGTGCCTCTCAGTATGGTAGGTCAGCTCAAACGAAATGCACGAGCATCAATATTGGCCCATGCTTCCTTGCTGAACGTGACCGCTGCACTGGCCAGGTTTCAGCAGATTCCAATTGGCGAACAAGCGGGGAATCCGGTACAGCGCGGCCAAGGCTTATCTGACGCCTGTGAAGCATCGCAAGAACCTCCACGTCATCCTCAATACCATCGTGTCCAAAGTGAGTGGGTTTCACAGAGGAGCAGCGGAGGAGGTCTGCATGCGGAAGCATTGAGTCAGTTTAGTGAGTCCGAATTTCTAGTAGAAAGTTGTCGTTTTTATGTTGTGCATAATAGTTTTTCTACTGCTATTTTCAGGTTCTCTCATAAGTGCTGTCGTTGCTAGACGGTTACTATTGGAGAACCTTGAGTTTAATACTGTCTATTCTATCGATGAAGAAAGAGAAATTCTCACAAATTAAGAGTAAGATAATCTATTACCAAGTCAAAATTAAGGATGTTCTCATCTCATCAACATCTTTTCGTGTTTCGTAGAGGGGAATGTAATTCGCACCAATGGAGAACCTCCATACACCGCCGTATAACGCACTGTAATCACTTCTGTAAACTCTGAGAGCTAACTCATTAATTACAGCCCAGGTTCTCCAAATTTTCGCCAACTTCGCAGCACAGTGTTGTATTAGTAAACCATCTCAGGACTGGAGTTCCCACAAGGATATTTCGTCCCGTAGAGCCCTTGAAGACAGTTCTGGCGAGAATATAATTTAGGCATTAGTAAGACAGACAGGGATCACAGAAATTCCCAATGACGCCTCAAGCAAAACCTCTGCAAAACCCCTCCCTTGTCCCAGCCCGTCAGGCTGCCTGAATCCCGTTTTCATTGGATCAATGGCTATGGACCTGGTGTCACGCTTACTTACGCTTGTCTCTCAATGGGTTTCCCTTCCATTTCTATGTACCGGTGCACTCGCGTGTAGGCTGCTCTTTCCACGCCTGCTCTATTCAGGGGCAGCAGACAACCTCGGCGATTTTTTTTCTTAAGACTGACGAATTGGTATTGAGACTGTGGACCGTCATGATTTACTTTCCCTTCCAGATTGTCTTTGACGAGGCGACAAAGACGGCGAAAGGAGTCGAATACCTAACCTTAGACGGTTCCAAGCGCTTCGTATCAGCGAAGAGGGAGGTGATCCTGTCGGCTGGGGCTGTTGCTTCTCCTCAGCTCCTCATGCTCTCTGGCATCGGACCCGCAAACGAACTCCGGAAACATCAGGTGTGGTTCGACTTCATGCCCTCTGAATTCCCTCGTTATGTAGTTGTGTGTGCACGTTCCAAAAACAATCATTTCACTTTTTCTTGTTTCTGGAGTACTTCTCGTGGATTTTTTTTATTTAGGAATGTAACATATGCAGAACTTGAAAGAAATCTCTTACGAAAATGCCTCATAGGAATCCTATTGGAACATATAGGAAACTTATAGGTTCCTATATGGCCTATAAGGAACACTATAGGCCCTATTTGAACAGAACCCTTTGGGGCCTATAGGGTTCCTTATAGGCCCAATAGGAACCTATAATATTCCTATATGTTCCAATATAGGTTCCAGGCATTTTCGTAAGGGTATGGTACTTTGAGAAAGTGCTGAGTTTTGAGGGTTTTTCCATTTACCTGATTTGTAGATGAGACGCAATTGAACTAACTGGACAATTTATCTAGGTCGTACTGTCAAAAGTGTCATATTAACCCTTTACATTAAACGATCCCATCCGATCTACGCTCAGATTCCTCCTCTGGTGGATCTCCCAGTCGGCGAGAACCTTCAAAGTCATGCGGGTGCCGGAGGCCTCTACTTCAGCATCAAGGAGAAGTCTGGCTTCTACCTCCCTGACCTATTCACCACTGAGCTCATCCCGAGCACGCTCCAATACGTCTTGGAGGGCGACGGTATCCTTCTTTCCCTTTTAGGGTTCTTGGGGACAATACCAGAACTTGCCTTTCATGGAACGCTTTCACCTCATCCCTACTTTTTTAAACAGATGATGAACATGAAAGGTGTTCCGCATTTATGTAATATTTGTGTAGAATCAAGTCATAAATGACATGTGAAAATACATAGTAGCTTCTCTGTCAAGACCAAAAAATTGGGTCTTCATGTGTATGATACTCCTTTTCCTTCTGAAAGGATAGTGAATTCCCCTTTCTCGGTACGGCTCCCAGGAATTCTTCCGAACTCGTCTTGTAGCAGGCATTCAGGACTGCTCACATGGAATGATTCAAGATAGGCTTAACGGTGCCGTCTTTTCGTAAGCTGGTTGCTGCGAGCGGGAGTCCAGTACAGGGAATTGAAAGATACCATGAGTGGGTGGGCTGGGAAGGACAGGAATTAAATTACGCAGAAATTATGCATTTTCTGTGGCAAGATTCCGCTGCGTCCATTGAATTCATGCAATCCTGATGAAACCCGACCCATTTAGAAAAAGCGAGCGCCTGTATGTCTCCAACCAAAATAATTTAGTGTGCTCCAAGGCTCCCGGATAGCAAACACAACAACCGTTAAATTTCAATCATTCGAGGGTGATGAATGAGTGTATGAACTAAAACCAACGACATCCTGAACCCTAGTTTGCTGTCAGTATTAGCCTTTCGCCTGTTTTTGTCATCTGGACTTGTGCGCCCTCACTTTCTTATGTGAGCGCAGCGGACGCTGCCCACGATGACCTCACCCAGTTTCGAGATATTTAGTCTTGAAAGGATACCTTCCCAACCTGTACAGCGAAGGGAAGCTTTCGGTACATATGCAGCTGCAGAGAAGGAAACATTCTGCGTTTTATAATGGAGTAGCAGAGCAAGTTCCCGCCACGTGGCTCATTGCCATGCTCAAAACCGCCAATTACGGCTCAAATATGGATAAATCGGTCGCTGAACTTCCCAACCAGCTTCCTAATTAATGCGACTACAAGACAACAATTCTTGCCACTTCATTCAGTTACCCAATATATTTTCCCTAATCCTTTCATGATGATCAGGACGTTTCAGACAGAAATTCGTCGCGGACCTTCATGATAATGCGTTCTGTCTGTTCCTGCGCCTTCCTTGCTGATCATCCGTGTGTTTTCACTCAGGCGTCCGTGCGTTGTTTCAGGGCCCTTCTCGACTGCATACGGTTTCGAAGGGATCGCTTTCGTCAATACGTCCTTTGCCGAGGATCCGGATTGGCCGGATATGGTAATCACCTTCAGTTCGCAGACAATAGGCACGGACGGAGGGATGTTATATCAACCGAGAATCGGACTCGAAGACGAGGTCTGTTCTTCATGAATCTCAGACGGGAATTTCACGTTTTCTTATATTTTGTTTTGCTTCGCAGGCGTGGAAAACGTACAAGGGTTTGCTTCTTCGACCAGGTTTTGGATTTTATCCGTATGCTTTACGACCGAAAAGTCGAGGGAAGATTTCTCTGAGCAGTACAGACATTTTGGACCATCCGGTCATTATAGGGAATTATTTCAAGCATCCAGATGACATGAGGAGCATGATCGAAGGTACGGTCACATAAATATGAATTTCCTGAAGTCTTTTATAAATGATTTCCAAGTGAAAAGTTTTTACGATTTTCAGCCATTCGTTTACTACTGCTATTGGGAGAGCAACCTGCATTCAAGAGACTCGGAGCCAAATTCTACAGTCAGCCTCTGCCTGGCTGCAGCCATCTGAATCAGTTCACAGACGAATACTGGGAATGTCACATTCGACAGTTCACATATCTGCATTTTCACGATGTCGGCACGTGCAAAATGGGGCCTCCTGAGGATCTTACGGCTGTTGTGAACCCATCCCTTCGGTACAAGAAAAATATATGCACATAAAAATGCAATGGGTGAAATCACAATGTTAATTCATGCAGGTTACTTTTTTAATATTGAACTCGGCAGGGTATATGGAGTGAAGAACCTTAGAGTGGCGGATGCATCCATCATGCCGGCGATCGTCTCCGGCAATACCATGGCAGCATGCATCGTGATCGGGGAGAAGGCCTCCGACCTCATCAAGTCCTCGTATGATCTCTGACCTCCAAGAACGGAACGAACTTTGGGCCAGCTTTCGCAGTCCCGATTCCGGGATATCTTTCCTCCTCCGCTCAAAGAGCAGAGGGAGATCTTCGGTTTTCTTGATCTCGAGTGGTGTCGTCTGAGGACAAGGGAATGATCTATATCACGGAATCTTCAGCTGCTTGAATATGTTGCAAGATGGTGCCTAACATAATTGCAAATATGTGTATATATATATTCTTTTTAACCATTTTTGCAAGCATGAGTCAACCTCATTAGATGCTTGAAATTTTGGGAAATCGGGTGATCAGGAAATTGATCTCACTTTTTTTGCCTAATTGATAGGCTTTGAGAATTGTGGTTGTCATATCGTATTGTGGTTCTCATATCGTCTCAATGCTAGGCATTTTGAGTAAGTTGTGCCAAAACCTGACAAATAAATGGCGAGCTTGCTTAGAAGCCCATCGCACTCCATTGCATTCGAGGAGGAAAAGAACAAAAAAAGAAGCATGTGAAGGATCTCATTTTCCCTATTCTACTGACCCAATTCCAAATAATTACTCGCCATTGAAGCTGTTCTTCTATTCTGAGACGCAACCTCGAACTGCTGCTGCCGATTCTCGTATTATACATCGCTCAAGGAAGAAAGTTGGGAACAGCATTATCTTCCAGTTTGATCACAGCTGGAAATCCAGATCCATTCCAGCTGAGGAATAACTTGAAAATTCAACAGAATTCAACTGAGAGTGGGGGGTGGGGGGGGGGGGGTCAAAGCGGAAACCCTCTTGTTTATCGTCTTTCGTTCGTTGTCGTATGTGCACGACGCAAGCAATGTCTTAACATTTTCAGACCTTTTTTCCATCTATGATGAGGTCCCTTTGCGTCATCGGACTAGGTTGAGAGAATTGAAGCCTGGAGCTTCGGTCTCACGACAGTGCGGAAGCCTTTATTATGTTACGGTATGGGATTCGGGTGGAAATAAGCTTAAGTGGGAGGTTCGTGAACAACTATGCAGGTGTTTCATTCAGGTCGGGCCTAACTTGACGCGGGATAAGGGGCTTAAGTTGAAACTGTCTTGCAGGAGATTTGCACTTTTCGCCTCGCCCTCTCCTGTTGGAGGGCATGCAGTATTTCCCTACTTCGTGGCATAAAGCTCTAAAAATAACTCTATGTAATTATTACATCGGACTCAACGCTTATAATTTAATCAACAATATATCCCGAATAACAAACACCGGGGCTCACTAGTGACACCTAGTGGCGGAGGCTGTCAACAAAGATCAGGGGTCAATCACCCCTAGGGGGGTCGCATACTTTCTATTCCCTTACCGTGCCAATAAAAATAATGAATGAAAGATTACATAAGTGAAATTATTGATAACATTGCAAACAACAAGTTGAAATTTCTCATCTTCTCTCAACGCTCCAAGTTTAAGCGACGAAGGAGAATAGCTTCAGAGCCATGCTAAGAAAAACAAACTGTTTTGAGGTTTTTTCCACCAACGATATCCGATTCCCACTTTTGAGGGGAGAAAAAAAATTATGCCCATAGCAAAAATAAAACTCCCTGAAGGAGTTAATACTCCAGTAATCCGGTCATAACGCAATATCCAGTTGCGACAGCGCATTAATCGAAGGCCACTACTTTTTTTTGTTCTGGGTTCTGGCATAGTTGAAGAAATAACGATTCAGATCATCAGGTACCCGGGATGACATTATCATGATGTCGACATCGTCATTAGCGGACCGATGGGCGACACCGTTTCGGTTTCGAGCTGGAAAACCGGTTTTCGGTCTGAAATGCGGAGGCCTCTGCGACGCGGTTGCTCCGTTTTCCGGTGATTCTTATCCTTTTCATCCAAAGGGGAAAAATCTAAATAAATAAAAAATTAAAAGACCGAACAGTGTTGGGAAGTATTTGAAATGCTTTATTTGAAAAATATTTTTTTTTTACACAGCAATGTAAAAAAGTTTTTTTTTCTTCGGCTTTTCAAGCACCATACCCATTATATATTTACCATTGTTTTTTTAATGCTACATTCGAACAGTTCATATTTGCATGTGCTGAAAAAATAACAAATGCTTATTGTAATCAGCCATTCCAATTACATATGGAAATACAAAATATTTTAAACATTTTGAATTTTCATCAGCACGTCCAGGTACGAAATAATTTTCCTGGAATGTTAAAAAATCCTTTTATTAAATAATTGCTGAAAAAAGTACTTGAAACCCAAAGTAAAAAAATGCAACATGTTTCTTTTTTTCAAAGGCTTTATCAAATAATTCTAATTCAATGCCCGCCCAACACCGTTCTGTCTTTTAATTCCCTCTAATTAAAACCGTCGCACTCACTCAACTCCAGTCGCAACAAGTTCACCGCGGAGCGAGCCGTCCTTGGCCGAAATCTCGACTAGCCAACCGATCCGGTTCCTCCGGCGACGGACAAGTATTAATTCCAAGTTCACTCCAAGATCATTCCAAGTTCATTCCCGCGTGGAGTGGAGGAGGTGCATCCCAGGCGATTCGCGCCGAATTGAGTCTGAAGGTCGCTTGTCTCGGATGACCTTGATGGTGGGGTTTCAGGTAATTTGAAGGTCAATTTAAGGGCAGTGCATGCGAACACAGCCATAGGGCCACGGTCACCCTCCGGCGAAGTGAGAAAACAAGAATCGGCAAAAAAAACACTCCGAATTTCTCGAAGGTCTGCCCCTGCACTTTGTTAACCGTCATGGCAAAGGACGGGAACTGACGCGAAGGGACGGCATCATCTCCCAGGATTTTTTTTTTCTGGTCGAGAAGTGGCGCGAGCAGATGAGGGCCATCTAGGTCCCAAGAATCGATCTAATTGCCCTCATCCATCAAGTTTTTCCTACCTGGAAAAAGAAAAGGCTACACATCGAAAAGCACAAGAGAAGGGAGCTGGGGAAGGAAGGCTGGAAGCGCGAGAACAGCGTGAGAGGTGGAAGTGAGAAGTGGAAGCGTGAGAACAGTGTGAGGCAGAGAGCAAACGTCCTTCTGCCTCAACCGTTGGGGAAAGAGCGAGCCGAGAGCGTCCCCCGAGGGCCCTTTTATACGCATCCTTATGACGTCACTCGGCATGCGCGCATATTCACCACCTCCTCTACCTGTATGTCAGGGGGTTTGTTACGGCTTTTCCGGGTTGCAGGCCGATGCATCACGATACTAATCACGCGGAATTAATGAGGAACTCCGATCACCAAATTTCGTAGTGTACCGTTTACTAAGAGTACTAAGACTACTAAGAATACGAAAATAACTTAGACGGATATCTGTTCGTCTTGGTAGGACCCTCTTCGGCAGGGAACCGGTGTCGGAGGCTTGGGACTTAGTGGGTCCAGAAGGAAATAACGCCAAGGAAACTCAGGTACAGCCCAAGCAAACATGCATTTCTGATCCTTACCACAAATGTGCACAGCCGTCAATCAACGAGCCGCTCCGGTTCCCAATCACTCGACGAGGCGAAATGGTCCAGGGATGCAGAGATGCCTCCTTGGCGGTCGGCGAAGGACTCCTCGCTCGTTGAAGGCTAGCGGTCGGGATCATCGACGGTCAAGGAGGCCGCCGTTTCTTCCACGACGGTACCGCGAGGGAAACAACGCTTACTTGCGACTCAGTCGGCGTATACTGGCCGTACCTACCTCTTCGGGACTTTGGTCGTGCTTGGATTCAACGATTAGCCGGTCGTGTGGTCGTGGAGTGCGCAAAGCGGGAAGCTCCTTGGTCCCGAAAAAATTAATCTCCATGATTTAATATCATGATAGATTGCAATATGACATAGAAAGCATAGGATGTCAGATGGGTGCCAGCTGGCCTTTCCGGCCAGCTGGCACCCATCTGACTGCTGACCCATCTGACTGCTGACCCATCTGACTGCTGACCCATCTGACTGCTGACCCATCTGACTGCTGACCCATCTGACTGCTGACCCATCTGACTGCTGACCCATCTGACATCTGACCCAGCAGAAATACCAAAGCTCCAAGGCATCAAGTCCAGGACTATAGAGTGCAATCAAATTGCGAAAGAACAAAGGACACATTCCTACGATCCGATTCCGCAAGAACCCGATGAAACTGGCTTCCAAAGCGTACATATTTTTATAATGAAAAAAAAAAACCGGCCTCGTCAGTCTTCGACCCCCAGCCGAAGAAATTAGCACTTCGACCACTTCTCGAAATAAGGGCGGACGAGATCGGCCTCGACTTTATAATTTAACCTGGTCGATGACACGAAGTTTTTTTTTCCTATTCCGTTCCTCGACGACCCCGACTGTTTCGCTCAAAATGTCGGTCGCTTTATTTTTCTTCTCGGCGGTCGACCTTGGGCGACATTTTCACGTTGAGGTTAGACGTTCCGTTATCAAATAATAATTGACAGAAATAGTCAATCAATATGACGAAAGGTCGACGCATTGCAACATGTGGCGTTATTGGTATTAATTGACAGAGGGATTGATGATGGCTCCAATTAAGGCCTCCCATTCCCTTCTCGCCAAAGAAACGACCGGAATAAAATGTTCTCAGGGAAACTACCGCTGGAAGCTAACAACTCCTACCATGCCGTTGTTCGTTCTGCATGAAATGGATGCTGAGATCATGGGGATGAGGAGGAAGGGTCAGAGTGGAATTGGAATGAAAGGGGAAACGGTATTTTTCGCAATGCGCTCCCTATCGGGGTCGGGGAGAGGATGAACAGCCGGAAACCGGTGGTGTCGGATACCGGTCCTGCCGGTAACCGGTCGTCTCTGGGCCGGATGAATGAAGGTCAGGACTCTCGCATGAAAGCGAAAGTGAACGCACGTCCATTTAAGGGCTGCATTTTTTTTAAATCGGGATTCGAGGGCTGTCGGCCGACACGAAATGAGAAACTGGATTTAGACACGTTCAGCTTCATGTTGAATTGTTTCAAATTAATCGTGAGATAATTAGGAGATAGACAAGGCGACATTTGTCGCCGACCCCCGGCGATTGGCTACAAATTGCAAAAGCAATGCAA